GACAACACCTTTGTGTTGCAGTTGTATAGGTTCTCCAAACGAGTGTAAACAAGGGTTTTATAAAAGTTGTGGTGAACACATTGTGCAATTATTATTCAACATGCAGCTGAACAAAATCAAAACGAAAGCGTTTCTTCAACTGGAAATTGTTACTTGGGTTACATAGGGAGAAATCAATTTCCGGGGGAAAAAAAATGAATGTCCCTGGATTTATTTATTTAGCTTCTCTCAAATTCTATATTGATTTTAACACTTCCACCAGCGTGGCCGGATGATGATTTATCTCACCAATACATTCGTGCCTACAATTCTATACCTTCTATAGACCAGGGCCTTGATACCAAGCTGCTTGCGGGAACTGATTACCTTAAAAAATGTCCTAGTAATACTCTTCCAACAATTTTTGGTGGTCCTGAAAAGGACCGTTTTGTAGTGATGGTTGACAAAATCTGAGGTGGGTGTTCTACACGGATGAGGCTGTCGAGCTGTAAGTTGTTTAGAGCAAGGGTGACACGCTTGGCATAGATGACCCACGAAGAGCTACTGATTCCGATTCACAGCATAGCGGTGCAGCTTCTTCCTCCTATGGTTGCTCATACGAGCACTGCAGCTCGCTGCTTACAGGCAGCCTTTCGTTGTTACTGTGGAGAACAATGTTTGCCGAAGCACTCCTGCTGCTGTTTGCTGCTGCTACTTTTGCTGCTGCTGCTGCTGCTACTTTCTGCTGCTGCTGCTGCTGCTACTTTCTGCTGCTGCTACTTTCTGCTGCTGCTGCTGCTGCTGCTGCTCCTGCTGATACCGATGACTGGTCACCACCACTTACGGTGATTGAATGTACACCGTTCAGTGAGACCGCATTGAATTCGATTTTTAAGTCTGTGTTAGGGAATGCGCTGTTTTCAGACATTCGGTGATAATTTTGATCACCATTGCAAAAGTTGGACATTTGTGTAATTTTCAATAGTGACCTATTGAAAATTAATTAAGTATTCATTTTAGCAGATTGGTAGATACATTTCGAATCGTTTGGCTTATTTAGAATTAAAATCTATCTGCTATTGGTCGAAACCTGACCTCTTTTCGTAATGCTGTGCATATTGGTTTGTCGGTAAAATCACAATTTTGATTTGAATTTTGAAATTTTTCACTAATAACGAGTTAAGAAATCAATTTAACATTTACTATACTTTTTCTGTGACATCATAACTCGATGTCAATTATACAAGGTCTGGCCCAACCGGCTTATTGGTTTTAGTGAAATGTGAAAATGTCTAGTGGTGGTCGTATTTCATCGCAATGTTTATCTTTTTACACGAAACAGCTGTTTACTGTGACGACACGACTGCTATTCGCAGTATGGAATGTTGTGCTGCCGTGACATCGGCATTCGGTTGCTCAGCAATGTTTACAACATTTGTGCTTCTAACACCAGCAAGCTACTTGTTGTTCCAGACCTTGTATGATTGACATCGATCATAACTACCTTTCGTAATCCTACGTCAAATTTACGGTCGTGTCTTGGATACAACCTCTTACTTTTTTTTTAAACTAATAGTCGATTTAGTCCTTAATATGTGATGCAGTACCAGAAAATGTCTTAAATTTTTTATTAATTTTAAATTAATTGTAATATTTCTCTGAGATTGATCAGGCTTCCAATTTTATTCTTGACATCATACAACTCAAAACACTCGGTAGACCAGTAGGCAATTTTATTTTAAACTAAAATTCTCCTGACTGAAGTGAGAATCAAAGCCTTACATCGTGGTACTCACACACAGTTTACCCATTTGCCTAAACTACGGGTAACTCCACGTGACCATTACAAATAATTTATGCCAAAGAATAATATTATTATATAACTAAAATGAAAGTCTGAAAGCGTCATTTTTGAAGTCTCAGAATTCTGGTAATTTATATTTTTCCTGGGTCCCAGATCATGAAATTTTTTGTTACTCTGAAATTACTTCATTTACAGAGTTCAATTTGAATCATCATACTTCTTTTCCGGATTTCCCTAAACTAATCTTGATAACATCCAACCTTATAACATTCTAAGAGTGCTTAGCATTATTTCTTTTAATCTCTTATAAATCGCTCTCTGATTCCACTATTCCCTCAAACTGGTAATAATTTTCAAGAATTTGCATAATTTAGTCTCATTTTTTCTCTATGAAATTCCCTTAGAATATTCTTAATAATTTCCTTGGTATGCTCTTCAGAATGACCGTCACATTCTTCTCAGACTAATCCTCTTCAGTATTTCCTAAGTACTCAAGTACTTTGCCAAATAGCTTTGAAAGTCTCCCAGAAATTGCCAGATTTCTTAAAACTTGATAAAACCTAATCTTCCATAGAAACATTGGACATAATTCCATTGAAATTATTCTCACGATTCGTATCAGCATACTCCTTAAGTTTCATCTTAAGAATTTTGATTTCTCTTCCGGATTCTAACTATTTCTTTTCTTGCCAAAATCTCCATGCAATTGTCATAAGAGTTTGCAAAAGACAATTTATACCGTCTTCACTTCAATCAAAGGTTGCACAGACTGCATACTTACACTTAACTGTAAACTATTTTCAGAATTACCTTAAAGTTCTGAAATCTAGGGCAATTCAGAATTCCAAAGTATTGCAGACTGCTAAGGTAACTCAATATTACTTCAAAACTCTATTTAAACATCTAATTAATTATCATCAAAAATATCACGAACATACTTTAAAGTCTTGGTGGTTGTCAAGATTCAAAAGCTTTGCTAATTTTCCAAAACTCAATTTTTTGTTTTCAATCCTGAACAGTTTTCGATGTCTCTAAATTCCAAAAATTAGGAAAATTCCTCCATATTGAAATATTGTTTTTTATAAATCCAAGATTCCAAGAAATGTAATTATAGCCAAAATCTAAACAACTCCAGATAATAAAAAAAAAAGCTGGCTCGATATTTTTTTTAAATTTGAAGATTTTTTACAGCCAATAATGTCTCGATTTTTATGATTCTGCAACCCATTACAAACATGCTGTAACAATTCCATGCATGATGTTGCAATAATGTCCAAACTTTGATGGCTTTTAGTAATTGAAGTAGTAAGTTTGGCTTTATATTTTTTGATTAGAGGGTCCATTTTCAACCCCCCCCCCCTCACCCCTTTGTCACATTTTTTCTATGGACCTTAATTGTTTTTGTAAGGTTCGTCACAGTTTCCAAAACCCCCCTAAAAGTGTGACATAATTAATGGACGATCCCTTAATTTCAGTGATATTTATAAAGCAACACATTTTAAAAATCTGGAACATAGGGGAAATGGATGTAATGTCGGCCTAAATGCCCCTAAATTGGGCCCATACATAAATTCAGCAATCGATTGAATTTTCAATAGCGACCAAAAATATCCATCAGTACCGTCCCAATGACGCATTCATCTAGATAAAATTGATGAATAGCAGATTTTTAGCGATGGGCCCAATCTTAGATCCATTGGCCAACATTAGAGCCATTTCCCCTATTTAAAAAATCTGAAAATAAACGTGTATCTGGCAAGGCGACTGAAAATCTGTAAAATCCAGATAAATTTGCAATACTGGCAACGCTGCTGTTACCTCTATATATGCATTTAGATTAACAACCGAAGTCCCTCCTTCTTTACACATTCTGCACTCAAAATAGCTCACCCCTCACATGATTTCCTTCCGAATTATATGAATGGGGCGGGGCGGAAAGTATCGTTTATGCAGAATATGTAAAAAAGGAGGGACTTCGAAACTCGTGAGCTTATTTTCCCACAAATTTGATTTTATTGTGGCTTTCTGGGGATTGGTAATAAAGCAAGTAGAACTTACATGGGGAGAAATCAATTTCCGGGGGAAAAAAATGAATGTCCCTGGATTTATTTATTTAGCTTCTCTCAAATTCTATATTGATTTTAACACTTCCACCAGCGTGGCCGGATGATGATTTATCTCACCAATACATTCGTGCCTACAATTCTATACCTTCTATAGACCAGGGCCTTGATACCAAGCTGCTTGCGGGAACTGATTACCTTAAAAAATGTCCTAGTAATACTCTTCCAACAATTTTTGGTGGTCCTGAAAAGGACCGTTTTGTAGTGATGGTTGACAAAATCTGAGGTGGGGGTTCTACACGGATGAGGCTGTCGAGCTGTAAGTTGTTTAGAGCAAGGGTGACACGCTTGGCATAGATGACCCACGAAGAGCTACTGATTCCGATTCACAGCATAGCGGTGCAGCTTCTTCTTCCTATGGTTGCTCATACGAGCACTGCAGCTCGCTGCTTGCAGGCAGCCTTCCGTTGTTACTGTGGAGAACAATGTTTGCCGAAGCACTCCTGCTGCTGTTTGCTGCTGCTACTTTTGCTGCTGCTACTTTCTGCTGCTGCTACTTTCTGCTGCTGCTGCTGCTGCTCCTGCTGATACCGATGATTGAATGTACACCGTTCAGTGAGACCGCATTGAATTCGATTTTTAAGTCTGTGTTAGGGAATGCACTGTTTTCAGACATTCGGTGATAATTTTGATCACCATTGCAAAAGTTGGACATTTGTGTAATTTTCAATAGTAACCCATTGAAAATTAATAAAGTGTTCATTTTAGCAGATTGGTAGATAAATTTCTAATTGTTTGGCTTGTTTAGAATTAAAATCTATCTGCATATTATGTGGTCAAAACCTGACCTCTTTTCGTAATGCGATCGATTTTTTGTAATTGCACCCGCAATATGGTTCCGAAATACGTAATCCTACGTCAAAATCATACTTATGGGTCGTGGAGTTATAATCGTCAATGTTCCGAGACTTGAAAGCATTTGAAGGGTTATAAAAAATTACAGAACAATCTATAAAATATTGCGGACAAACCCTGGAATTTTAAGTAAAAATTAAAAGTATTCAAAGTGATGATTTTAAATAAATATTGAGGAGGGTTCCCTTATAATTTTCCAAGGGAAAAATTCTCAACAGAATTCCAGAATTGATATGACATGAAGTCCTTAGATGAATTTAGAGGGATTTCTATGCAGAAGAATGCAAGTTCCAAATTAAACTCTTAAGTAATTTTAGAAAATTTTAAAAGGAGTTTTGAAAAAAAAACTTTAAGGGAAATTCCTACGTGATTCTGAGGAAATGTGAATGGGAATCGTGAGGAAAATAACAGATGGATTTTAAGAAGAATTCCAAGAGAATTATGATGAGAATTCAACAAGAAACAGAGAACCCTAGTGGGAAAAATTCATCACAGAGCTTCAACCGAATTGAATGCAACAATGCAACAGGACACTGCAAATTTGTTTGGACATATTTCGATACTACAAATAATGAATTAGTCTTGGGTGATCTAGTAGAAACATAATCTGATCTCCAGAATGATTTCAGAACCCATAACATCTTGTATACGTAGCAATAGGTCGGGCACGATCCAAATAGACACTTTCAATCTGTTTGGACATATTTCGATACTACAGTCGATTATTGCAGTCTTGGTTGATATAGTAGAACAAATCAATAACTCAACTCCAGGACGATTTGAAGAACCTATAATGTCCGGTATACATGGCAATTACTCGCATATATACGATTCGTTTATGATTTGACAACGAAAAATGCTATGTTCATATTGGAAATAAAAAAAAATATGAAAATGTCTCGCATTGGAAGGACCCCCAGGGAATTTCCGTGTAAATCCGGCGTGACTTATGGAATTAAGATCATGTCTAGATTATTTGCAGGGTGTTTAGTTTGAACCGGTAAAAAATTGAAAGCCAAATGAACAACAAAATTGATGACAGCTAAATATTCCGGGACTGAAAGGTTACAATGAATTCCACAATTTGTGTGACAGTACATCATTCTAATCGCAATTTTCGCGACATCATTAATTCTTTCCGCGATTTTCACGACTGAAACTTCAAATCCGCGATATCCGCGCCTGTTGTAACAGCCCTGGATTTGTTTTCATCAATGTTCGGTGAAGACTTCGGTGTGGAAGTTCTTTCGGGACTGCGATCAGAAAGTTGCTCATCTGCTGCAGGATACTGTTATTTGGCACGGAAAGATTCTGAGCTGGCACTGCCGGATGCGCTGGTTTGTGGAGACTGTTGTCGTTTAACTTGCGGAATTATGACGATTGTTGCCTGAGTTGGCTAGCTGAACTTTAGTTGAGCTAGCTCCCGGGCTAGTTGTTGCTTTATGTTTTGAAAACAACAAAAACAACATTCAACACGACACATGAGCTGTCATTTGCTTTGGAAATAAGCTTTCACTAACACTAATCAAGCTCATGTGTAAAGAGTAATGTGACATAAAAACGATCAGTTCGACGAGTTTCGATTCGGGCCGGCTGCGCCGGCCCTTAAAGTAAGGACATGATAAGCGGTTATCGTATTGCCGGAGAGTGAAATATTGTCACCCAACCGAAACACGACCGCTTAAATGTTGATTGTACACCTGATACCGCTGGTGATGAATTATTACCACCGACCGGTCGGTGATGGGATTTGGCACCTTCCGGAAAACCACGAATCATGAATGGCTTAAAATTTCCGACCAAGCGATGATGGATCGGTGCTTGAAGCATGCTGAATTGATGGATTCTACCTACCTCTAGCCTTAAACTGGTTAACCAACATGTAATAACTTTCGTCCATTTGCTGGGTCAGTTCAAGGAAATTCCTTTTTAACTATTGCATTGTTAATATACACAATATGTAAAAAATGAAGCATAATTTTTGAAGAGTCCAACGTTTGTAGTTTAACAAAAGAAATTAACTAAAATTGAACATATTAATAAATTCTTGTGTCAAGTAGTCCGATCCGATGGAACCAATAAAACCAACTTAAAAGCACTTACTTTGAATCTTACAAGTGCACCCATTCATCATTGAAAACCATCAATGTTGTCCCGTCTGCCATATATCATTCACTGAAAGGCGAGACAAGCAGTGATTACACCACCATTCACACCTAATAGTGACAGTGATGATGGAACGGAATCGATCAGTAATGCCATGGACCAGAAGAAGAAGAAGCTCTGTGTACCATCAGCATCACATCATGTAGGTAGGAGCGTGCATCAAATGTAGCCCCACTTGGACGAACGGAATCGAAATGCTGTTGCACATTTCCGAGCCGTTGCTCAATTCGTCGTATCTTGAGCTGCTGCTCAGTAAGTTTCCAGCAAATTCTATTTTGTACCGTATTTCATTCGATTCCCATCTGAAGTTTTTCCTATTCAGCGAACATCGATACAGAATCTCGGTCGGTATCTGCTAGTCGTGTGTCTCTTGCCAATTCTGAATCGATTTGCAGCTTGCAACAGTAAGTACGAGTTTCCTACATCCACAGCTATAGCAGTGTAGCTGCATATATGCAGCCGAGAAGCGGCATGGAGCGACAAACTGGAAAGGTGCAATCCCCAAAGAATCTGAACATGAATACCGTGTTCGTTAAAACTATTTCCAACTTCCACTGACTGCCGCTCCCACTACACTACCGGAGTATGATGGATTGGTCCGCTTCTTCTATTGAATGCAAAAAGGTGGTAAATGTAACAGCATTCAGGGTGCGATTCAATATAGAGGAAATCGGAAAGCGGTACCTGTAATGCAAAACGAAGAAGATGTGGAAAATTTATTCCAGTTGATGCAGTATTTTGCAACTCTATTTTTCGCTGTCAGAAGTAAGCAGAGGACGAGGTGGGACAGAGGGCTGTTGTTTTAGCACGGTACAGTGAACTGAAGTTCCGATCCCTTTTTGCATAGGAACAAACAAGACTTCCGATCAATTCACCCGCACGCACCCACAGCCAGACGTTAAGCCGATTGGGAGGTGTGTGTTTGTGTAGGTAGTTGTAGTTTTGGTTGCATTAACTATCTGTTGAATCGACCTGCCACTGGATAGACCATTGAAAAGTGTACCCTCGATGGGTTTGTAATGAGAGATTTGCACGAGTGCGAATGCATTTCCAGGAAATAAGCTCGGATGATGTAGATGGGTACATTGAGGATGACCATTTCGAACAGGGTTGGTTTTGTGTTAGACGGTAGAGATAGATGATGGGTTCACTGGAATATTCAATTATAAATCATAAACTCAGTACTTACATCATTGATCAATTCAGCACTTCAAAACTTTTAATTTCTATTCTGTTCTATTTATAGATCAGCTAAAATTTGTATTACTTGAACTCGAAAGTTATACATGTCGTTACCAAATTTGTTCTATAGAACAATCTTTTGAAAGTGGTAAATCATTTAGTTCGGAATTCACTCACCAGTTGGAGTTAGTGTCATTAGAAAATTTCGTTTTATCAGCTTTTATAGAATAAAGTTCTCATGATATGTGTGACATAGAAGGATGAGGTCTTCCGCAATGTTGTTTAGATTACGAAGGCCAACACTGGTATACTTTTCAGATCATAATTCTCTCATAAGGAGGGCTCTAGTGATCCTGGGAAATTCGTATAATGCATTATCTCATGATCCAGGCTATAAATAAAGTTGCTGTTTTCTGCTATGTTGTTCAGCAAGCGAAACTAACAATTTTCACAATGTAAACGCTTTGCTCATTTCATTTATACAGCCTCAAGCTGCATGTAAATGCTATACGATATTAGGTAACCTTTACTCAACCTCTATACAAGCAAATCTGGTGAACTTAGTCAGCTACTTATAGCTGTTAGAATGGTTGTGGCAAGCTCTTATTGCATATCCAATTTACGCTTCTATACAGCTGTTATTCTGCTGTTAAGTTGTGTGTGAACTTGAAAGGTGCTTATTTAACCATTTCCCGATTATCCGATAATCCCTACTCAGCTTGATCTTGAAGCCGGGTTAAATATTGTCTGCTTTTTATATGATAGGGGGATTTATTGAATTTATTTTTCTGCGAATCAAATTACTCGAAATTATTGATAAGCTCACACACCACCAAATAATTACCCTGCACCGAAACCTGGCCTCGAACTCGAGACGACTGCATTGGCAAACCATGACACTACCAACTTCGCAACGCAAACACTTCGAATTGATGTAAACACACCCACATGACTTTCTACAACAAGAGCGCTGAGTAGAGGCTTTATAGTAGTGCACAAAAATCACGTTTCTCAACTAGTTCAGCTTTAAATCTGTAAAACTGCACAGGTCTAAAAATAAACCTAGGTGACTTTAAAAATGCTTCCAAAGTAGCGCTATTAGCTGAGTACAGGTTGTGCAGTTGTTGAAAAAGCACTTTTGATGTTTATGTTATTCAGCAAGAGTGATTTGTTGTGTAAAAGCCATCAAATGAGCAATATATTCTCTTTATTAGCTTTGTTTTGCAGCTACAAGTTGAAAATTGATTAATATTTGCATAGAAGTGACATTAGCGTTTATTGGCTGCTGTTATTCAGTAGATTGACAAATTGAATAATG